TTTTTTGTTTTGTTTCGGTTTGGCTTGGTTGGTTGGTCCATGTCAACGACAATCATTATTATCATCATCTCGATGATGATGATCATGATCTTGATGATGATGATGACCACGGTGATTCAAATGTCATATAATCATCATCATCATCATCATCATCAATGTCTTTGTTTGTGGTCCAATGATTTTCCGCAAAAAATGATGATGTACCTGAAGATGATGATTGTAATAGGTAAGAGGTATGGAACTGGTAAAAAACCCACTTTTATATCAAAACCCACCGGTTCCATTCAACCGGATTTTTTTCATTTTTTTCTGGCTAAAATTTTTAGCTTTTTTTGGGCAAAAAGATGATATTTCATTATTGATTAGTATCAAGCGAAAAAATCCGAAACGAAAAATGTTGTTGTTGTTGTTGTTGTTCGCGTAGAAACAAAAACAACAACAAAAATGATGATAAAAAAATAGAGAAAAAAAAACCTTTCAATGGAAAAGATGTGACGAAAATTGGATTTCGATCAGAGACAAAAGAGCGAAGAGAGAGAGAGAGAGAGAGAGAGAGAGAGAGAGAGAGAGAAACAGAGATTAACCATGATGATGCAACATATGGAACCCGAATTACCCCGAATTTTGAAACGTTCGATATTATCGACCGGCCGGTAAAATATGGCAAACAAAAACAACAACAACAACAACAATGATGATGATGAAAAAAAATGTAAAAAAAGATTTTGTTTTTTTTGTTTCGTTGAAAGTTTTTTTTAGAAACTGATAACACTGATGTCAGCTTTTTTTTCACAAAACTCTCTCTCTCTCTCTCTCTCTCTGACTGGGATGACAACGATGATGATGATGATGATGCGACCGGTATTGATTGATAATATTGATGTGTAGTTTTCGTGGAAAAAAATAAATAAATTGAATTTTGAAAAAAAAGAAGAAGCTTAACATTTTCATTGGGTTTTGCTTTTGCTTTTGCTTGAAAAAAACAATCGAATGGCTTTATGTTGATGATGCTAATTGCTATTGTCATCGATCCAATCATTTTTTTTTGCCAAAATTCTTCTGGGTTCCAAAATCTACAACATTTTTTTTATCTTTCTTCAGGGCAGAATCATGAAAAAAGCAAACATTTCTCTACCTCCAAGTCTTGATTCTAGTCAGATTCGACCCCAGAATTGAATGTCTTTTCTTTTTTTTTGATGTTTGTTTTTTTCGTTCATTTATAACGAAATTAATTATCAAAAACAACAAACAAAAATGTCCCAAAAAACTAATTAATACACGAAAAAAATAAGAAGCTAAAATGGAAAAAAAAACGTTTGAATTTCAAATTACACCAAGCCACCAACACGAAAAAACAACAAAAACAAATTGGAATTTGGAAAAAAGAATTAGAAAACAAAAACGAAGAAAAACTTTGTTGTGTTTCCCTTGACTGATTCCGTTCTTTTTTTTAGTTTTTTTTTCAATTTGGTCATCAGATTCTGGAAACTGAAAAACTGAATCGAGAATAATTTTTTTTGCATTTAACTAAGTTCACTATTAATTAACTGACCATTATTAAGAAACTTTAACAGTAACAAACAAACAAACAACAGCAACGGGAAAACACTCGATTAGAATTTGACCATTTTTCAATTGAATTTTTTGTTTTGCCTGCCTGCCTGCCTGTCTGCTGAATGATGTTAGCGAAGATGAATGCGTTTGTTTTGTTTTGTTTTGTTTGGTTTTCCGAGCATAAAACAATTCTGAACTCAAGTTTTCTTTTTTCGGGTTGGTTTGGTTTCATTTCATTTCAAATTTGCAAATTTTGTTTGTTGTTTTTTTTAACACCCAAGATTTACGATGAATTTTGTGGCCAATTTTTCTTTTAATGAATTAAAACCACCATAATTTGAAGCAATAAAAACCGAATCTACTCCCATGAAACACGTGATGCTTTAATGATGACATTTGATGATTTTCACCCAAAAAAATCATAAAAATTTTTTTTGGGTTAAAAATTTTTAACAGCCATACACTTTTTGGCAACAAGATTTATTTCAGAACAAAACTTTGTCATTTTCTTTTTTTCTTCCTAAATTTTTTTTTTATTGACCATCATCATTCGTTTGAAATTCGAGATACATTTTAACAATCTCTTCCCTGATGAACGAAAGACGAAAAATAAGATCCGTTTTTTTTTTGACAGAAAAAAAGTTTATCACTTCCCCCCAGTTTTTTTTGCTCTTTATAATTGAATTCATTATGTGTGAATGTGTAGTGGAAAAACGAAAAACATCTTAAACATTTTGACAATGAAATTCAACACACCATACACACACACAGTCAGTTGTGTCATCGATTCCGAAGAAATTTTTCGTTTTGCGTGCTTAAAATTTTTTGATAAAAAAAAATTTCAGTTTTTCTACGTTTTTAATTTAAACAACAACAACAAAAAATTGAAAATTGAAAATTGAAAATCATTTATTTTTAAATTAAATTTCACGTCTCGATGACATTCTCTCTCTCTCTCTCTCTCTCTCTCTCTCTCCGTGTGTTTCCCGATTTCATTTAGATTTTACCGGATTGTGTTTCAAATGGAAACCTTTTTCCCTCTCTCTCTCTCTTGCTTTCGATTGTGATTCAATTGATAAAATCCTCAACAGAAATTCTTCAACAAAATGATTTTNTTGTTGTTGTCGATACTGAGATCTTAGTTTACCGATTGGAAAGTATGAAAAAATCAAACAAAAAACAAAAAAAAAAAGATCAGAATCGAAATTTAATTAAGTTTTAATATTTTTTTTCTTTCGTTTGTTCGCGCGCGTTCAATGTTCGATACTTTTTGCATTGAAATTCGATCAATGTTTCGTTTTGTTTTTTGGAAAACATGTTTTCAATCATCGATCGATCGATCGATCGCGATCGATCAATAATGATGTCGGTGATGATGAATTCTTTTCTGTTGACATTTTTTTCGAGATTTCATTATTCTGAATGAAAAATTCTTTGGTCGTTTACGTCCAAAAAAATTCTACCTGAAAAAATTCCAATGGTTATTCTCTTTCCCTGCTTGATTCCAACCATATTTTCCAAATTTGACAAAACAAAAAAATTCGTTGTAACAAGATTGCGAACGAAATCTAAAATTCATGACCAAGAAAGAAGAAAATCCATCGTTTAGAAAGAGATGTCATTTAGTGAGTGAATTATTTTTCGTTTCAATTTATTCTAGCGGTTGCAGCGGCAAGTTTCTCACTTTTTACCAACTTTTTTTCAGATAAACTACACTGCAGTGTGCAACTGGAAAATTAAATTATAATTTTAAATTTTTCCAAAAAAGAAAAGAGAAAATCTTTTTCAGATTTTCGTAGCCAAAACAACAACAACAACTGAAATGCTATGAATTTTTTTGTTTTCAAAGGTAAAATCATCATCATCGATTTGATTCAATTTTGGATTGCCAATTCAAACATTTCATTTTCTGGTTTCTTTTCATTTCATTCAATTCATTCTGTTCCATTCATTTTTTCAATTTGGTATCCCAAAATCTGATTGAAACTGATTTTTTTTCTTCGATTCGATCATCATTATTAAGATATGATCAAAACGAAATTCTTTTACTCGATGTTCCCGAGGGCGCCATGTGGATTCGGCATTCGGCAACCAGAAAAAAAAATTCTGTTCCATTCATTTGAGAACAAGAATTTCTTCTTTGGTTTCTTTTCAACTTATCATCAAATGTAGATTGAAATTCGTGAATTCCAAACCCAGAAAATAGAAGAATAAGAAAAAAAAAGGATCATATTTGACTGTATCCATAGACCTTTTCTTCTTCTTCATTGAAATTATATTATTAATATACATTATTCTCGAATTTATTATAAGTTTTCTTCTTCTTTTTTTTCTTCTTTTTTTCTCAGGATTCTCTGATTGAATTTTATTTTCTCTCACTACTCTTCACTCACACACACACACAACATGTGAAATGAAATGAATCAAAGATTTTGTTTTCGTTTTGTTTTGTTTTCGGTGGAAGTTTCTTCTTCTTTTTTTCTTTTTTTTTGGGTTTTTTTGGGTTTGAAAATGGATTTTCAGCACACAAATTATAATAATTTCTCGGTGCATCAATATTTCTGCTATTATTCGGCCCTCGAGGCTATATTTTTTTCGGGATTTCTTTTGAGTTTTTCATCAGAGAAAAAAAAAGATGATTGAAAAAAAGATGATTCCATCAATAAAGAATATCATCAAAGAAAAAAAAGAAGTTTTTTATTTTCATTTTCAACACCAAAAAGCAAAAGAATATTCAATCAATCCGATGATAATTGAAATTTTTTCTTTATTTTTGTGATTTTGATTCTGGTTGTTTTTTTATCGTTGTTGCTGTTGTTGTTGTGTTTGTTGTCGTTGTGGTCGATGTCGATGTTGATTTTGTTGATTTTGTTGATGGTTCTTTTTTTGTTGATGTTTCTATTTTTGATGTTTCCACCATTTTTGTCATTAATTTTGATTGTTTTTTTAATGGTAATGCAATTTTTTTTCTCAATATTTTTGATCTATTTTTTAATAATGATTTAATTGTCATTGTTTCAGGCATATTCAATATAGATTTTCTTGGTTTTTGTGCCTGTTCTTTTTGAAATTGTTCAATTTTTGTTTGATAAAAACCATTTCTATATAATAATTTATCAGTTAATGTTGTTGGCCGAACAATTAATTGCCTTTTTACACGACGTGTTTCTTCCAATAACCATTGTTTAATTGAATTTTGATATGGATATAATCGGCCAAGATAAAGATTAAGAAATTGTTCAAACATTTGATGTGACCAACCAATTTTAGCTAAATCCATATCGGTAACATCCACTGAACTAACAGTAATTTCACAATTACGATCTTCTTGTACCATTGTATCGGCATTTTTTTGTGTCCATAAATATGTACAATTAAATGATTTCATATAAAAATAAACACCATTTGCAAATATATCTAATTTACGTACAGCCGATAAACGATCAATATCACTATCATCAATACGAAAATAAAGATTCCATAATATTTCTAAACGTGCACGTAATGGATCATAATATGTATATAAAACTTGTTGTAATGTAAATATAATTAATGGACGATATGGACGAGATTCTTCTTCTTCCATACAAAGCATTTGTATTTTTGCTGCCATATCTGGATCAAATTTCATCTGTGTAAATGGTAATGTTGGTAATATATCATTCATTTCATTCCAAAACATAACATGACCTTTAAATATTCTTGGTTCGGAATCCATTTTTAAATCGATTTGTATTTGATACCAATCAATATATAATAAATCATTTATTGGTAATGAATCAAAATATGTAAAATCCAAACCATCATTATTATAATATGCATCAAAACATTTAACACCTTCTTGTAGTATGACCATTGGAAATGATGTTAAACGGCAAAGAAATATTGATCTTGTATAGAATGTATGATGTGCATTTTTAAGATTACAATAACGTGGTGTACCTTCAATGGCAACATATGCACCTGATCGTATTAAACGAACAAATGGCCCGGGTTTTTCCTCTGATTCACGTAAAATTTTCCGTTGCAAACGATCAAATGCACAATTTTGATCCAATATTATTGCAAATGAATCTTTACTTAGGAAAAAATTAAAACGTTCAGAATAAAAATTTCGATCATCTTTTGGTTTTTCCGTTACAAATGTTTCTTTTACTTTATATAATTGTGGTAATAATTTTTCAACATAAATTTGTACAAGATCTTCATGTCTTTTTAACATTCGTCTAATTTTATTATTCTGATTATTATTATTGTTATTACGAACATTATTATCTTCTAATGATGATGAACGATTTTGTAATGATTCTTCACTTGGTTCACGACCAAGTACATCAACTAATTTTTGTAAATGTGTACGTGCACGTATAGCCATACGATTTGTTGATTGTGAACTACGTGCCATAACCTGTGCCATATTTTGTGATAAACGATGTGGAAAAAAATGATCACGTACAGAATCAAGATCATCAATAAAATCAACATATTGTGTTACATTTAAATTTATATCATTTTTACATGCTGATTGCATAACAAATAATAAATTTGCATCCAATCTTGTTAAATTTGTTGTTAATTCTGTACGATAAACACCTAATCGTATTGATGTTTCAGATGATGACCAACAATTTGTTGATTGTGAACGTGCACAAATCAAATAACAACCTGGATTCATTAAACGATTGATGCTATATATTTTGCAATTGGAAATTGATTGAAATTGATTATTCGATTGCTGTTCAATCAATTTTTTTGGCAAACTTACTTTTTCTTAATCCATTGTGGATCAATTGGTAATTCATTTGGATAACCAATTAATATTGGAAAAATAAAATCACAAAAATCAGCCGGTAATATTAATTCACCATCAAATATTAAATCCGTTTCAGGATCATATTTAACTAAATAATTATCAACCATTTTTAATGATGATGATAAATCAGAAAAACGATGACTCCATACTAATAAACCGGTTGATAGAAAACGTTCAGGATCTGGTTGTGGTGGTTTTTCCAAAGAATTTTCTCTTGTTAAATCAGATTTTGCTGTTGTTAAACTACTACTACTATTTGATGATAATGATGATGATGATCTTTTTAATAATGATTGTGATTTTGATATTGATGGTGATGTTGATGTTGATGATGGCATTTTTCTTTTATTCTTTCTGGAAACTGTTTTCACACACACAATAAACTCTCTCTGCTTTTCAAAAAATTGGCTGTGACAAAGTTTTCAACTAAACTAGATTCGGTCATTTTTATATTGACCGAAAACAGAACAGAAAAAAAATCTAGAATTTCGAATTTTTTTTCACTTCCAAATTCTCTGTGTTAAGAAACAGTTAATTCAATAACGAAAAAAATGAAATTTTAAACTTTTGTTTAAAGTTTTTTTTCGCTGTTGTTCGAATACAATCCAATTCTGTTGTTGTTGTTTGGGTGACAAAGAAAATGTCTAGCAAAAGTTTGACCATTTTTTTCTTCAAAAAGATAAGATCATTTGTGTCTGTGTCCTTTAGACATAAGAATTCAACAAAAAAAGAAAGAAAGCCGCCTCAGTGAAAAAAAGATTCTAGAATTTCAATCGCACTTGATGATAATGATGATGATGATAAGGACTTGAAATACGACAAGCGTAACATCGTTATTATTTTGGATATCAGATTTCCAAATATAAAAACTTTTCTGATGACACACCTACATGATGGTGGGAGATGGGGATTCGACGTTTTTGGGCAAAGAAATTCATTTTGGAACGAATCTTTGTGAATTCTAATTATTATTCAATAGAATCAAGGCAAAGAGAAAAAAAAATAACCAACCAACCAACAATGGCAATGACATATTTATATTTGTATATAACTAACTAATAATAATAATAATGATAATTGCCTTTTCCATTTTATAAGTTTGACATTGTGCACTTTATGACCATATATCCATATCCATGATGATGATGATGAAATAAGAAAAGAAAAATGTAGAAAAGAAGCGAAAGAGAAAAAAACAATGTAAATAATATTCCATCATTGAAAGAGGCGTAAGAATGAAAATGAATGAAATGAAATGAATGATAATCATATTGTTTTAAGATTATTTTATTTCGCTATAGTCAATACTAATAAACAAGTCAAATGCAAATGTCCGAACGCGTATTATGAATGTTTGGTCGATTGGTTTGGTTGGACAATGAATAAAGAAAGAAAATAATAAAAATGTCAAAAACGCAAACATACAGCAGGGCCCCTTTCATTTCGAAAGAAACAAACAAATTTTTCTTGTTGAACTTTTTTTTTGGTTGTTGTTTTTGTTGTTGTTGATTTGAACTTTCCAAAGAAGAAATTCCTTTAACCCTCACACACACACACACGCATCAATTAGACAAATTTTTTTTCTGACAAATTCATTCTGCGAAAAAGTTATTGGCGAAAAAAAAAAATGATAAATTTTTGCCTTAAACTTTGCCTGTCCATATGGAAGATATTATTATCATTATTATTCGTTGGGCCAGAAAAACAAAAAACGAAAAACGATAATGTACATTTGAAGATATGAATATCATTCTTTCGATTCTCTATTTTCATTTGAATTATGATGGTAATTATTATTATCATCATCATAATCATCAATTTTTCTTTTGCTCTCTCCATGATTATTGTGCCTTATTACAGGCTCTCATCATTATCATCTTCATCATTATCATCATCAATGTTGACCATAACTAACCAAAACTAAACTAAACTAAACTAACTATTTATTCTGGTTATGAAACACAAGAATTGGTTTTTAGGAAAGTAAATACATAAAGATCGGGAGGGGGGAAAAAAATGAAAGCAAATTATTATCCACATACACATACACATAACATCCATAATAATCATCCATAGATGATGTGATGATGTCAATCTTTCAAGTAACATTTTTTTATATACAAAAAGGCAAAAGAATATTCTTTCCATTTTTTTTCTATTCTCAGCTATAGCTTTTTTCTCTTATTCTGTTTTATCGTTTTTTTTGAAACAACAGAATATTCCTAAACAATGAATGTGTGTGTGTGTGTCCATTAAAAATCATCATCATCATCATCATAATGGCCATAAAGTTTGTTGATGATGATAATGGTGTGGATAGATGATGATGATGATGATGATGAAGGTTTCGATGGCCATGATTATGATGTTGATGATGATGATGATGATGACGACTTAATCATAAGCTTTCGTTATTATTTCATATTTTTCTTTTTTTTGTGTTGAGAATGGTCATCCCAGAAATTTCCCTGGAATCTTTTCGATGATGAACAAAAAAATTGTTTTTTCCCTTTGTTTGGTGGTACATAAATTCTGTCTATGAAGCACATATACAATTCATTCATTGACATTCATCGCTTCTTTCTTTCTTTTCTTTCCTTTCATTTTATACAGAGATTGTCGGGAACTTTTTTGTTTTGCTATTCGAAAAGCAAACAAAAACATCATCAAAGAATCTTTCTTGTTTCGATTGACGAAACAGAACAAAAAACTTAACCCTTTATTTTGTTTTGGTTTGTTTGAGGATGAAATGAACGAAGAAGACGAAGAAAAACTTTTTTTTTTCCTTGTATTGTCACTATATGGAAATAATTTCATTATATGCCGGCCGGTAAAATTGTCTGTTTGTTTTGCTTGCTTTCAAAAAGTAAGTTTGATTCAAACGAGTGATAGCGATGATGATGAAACCAGAAAAATAAATATAAAAAGTTTGCCGGTTGTTTTTGGCCAAATAAATTCATTCTTGGTTTCAGTGAAACGAAAGGGGAAAAGAGATGCTTCACTTTACTTTTGTCCAAATTCTTCTGATTTTTTTTGGGGCATTATTCGGACAACAAATATTCAAGTTTGCAACGAACAAAACAAAACAAAAAATAAAACATTCAAACAACTTTTTTTTTGTTGTTTCTTGATTGAAATATTCTTGTGTTTTGTTTTTTTTTTGATGAAGGAAACTTTGGTTTCTTTTTTGATGTTGTTGTTGTTCTCCATCAAGGGACTAAACTTTGAGAAAAAAGTTTTTGAAAGACAAAAAAACAAATGTTCTTTACCGGCATGTTGTTGTTGTTTTTTTTTACTTTTGAAAGGAATATTTTCGGGAAACATTTACCGTTATTGTGAATAATAATCATTATTATTATCGTTGGTTGTTGTTTGGAAAAAAAAGTGGAAAACAACAATCATCATAAATCGGTGATGGTCATTTCTGGTTAAAATGAATGATCATCATCATCGCTATTTGGGATTGAATCAGCAGTAGAATCTTTTTGAATGATTCAAAACGACCGAATATCGATAACGATCGTCAAAATAAAACAGCTTTTCTCAAGTGAATGACGGTAATTTTAAACTTTTCAATCTTTTCGTTTTCGCATTGACATTTGAAACAACCGAATCAGCAGCAGCAAGAACAGCATTATCGATTTCAAAAAAAAAGTTTGATCGGACCGTACCAGAATGGATATAAACCTGATGGTTTGGACAATTTTTTTTTCTCCAACCGTATTTCAATATGTACGGCCATCATTATTGTCGTCGATAAAAGTGAAAGCAAACGAACGAAACAAAAATGAATTATTTCAGGTTTGGCATCGTTGTTGGGTCAATTGCCAAAATAAGATAAATGTATGCGACATTTGCCAAAAAAAAACGAAAAACCAAAAAAAAAACATTGAATTTCTAATCACGAAATCTTTTTCTATAGCAAAGAAAAAAATGGCTAGCCAAGCATATGATGAACCGAATATGATCGGTTTTTCCTCTCCATCTGGATTCTTTTTCTGATTCTATGATGAAAACGTTTTTGTAGCCATTTTTCTACCATATCCATTTTTTATCATTATCGATTGATGATGGAAGGTGATGATGATTTTCCGGGTATTGATAGAATTACCGAAACAACAGCAAGAAGAAAAAACCCGAAGAATTCACATTACCGATCCAT